TAAACTATAAAAATTTTGTTAACTCCCTGCAAAGAAATATTGCATATAAACCGCCTAAAAGTATACTTCATTTCATTCTGCACGCAAGTGCAATTCTAATATAATCTATACTTAGTTCTTCAATTAATGTTGAGTCAAGCATGACTCGAGGATATGTGTACAATGTAATAATTTTGCCACGTGCACTACTTTTAATTTACCGTTAGCTCTATTGTACTTACATAAATATCATTTCCCACTGAATGAAAATTTAATTAAAACCCTTCACAATCGAGCATTTTCATTTATTGCTTGGATTATCCACCCACAAATGCCTTTACACATGTAATATGTGCAGTGTATCTATTGTCGAACGCCCACTTTTATTTATACATTCGCTACAATGTATTGTAAACTGCCATTGATTGACGAGCTTTAGTGATTAGAAAGTCATTCGATATATTAATTAATGATGCACATACATACCTCAGCACAAGGTTCTGGTCATGTCATCCAAGGGTCGGCAGTGGGGCATGAGTAATGTCGCATTTACTAGTCGATTGAACAGATTTGATGATGCGCTCGAAAGGACAAAAGCACATAATCGATATAAGATTAAAATGTTTACCTCATTCGATGTCTCTATGAGGATGCATACATGTGTTGGCTGGCAGTAGGTCGCACAAAAGTTTTCAAAGCCAAGGGGAAGGATGCTCGCAGTAATGAATAATTTTGAAAATGATTTGTATTAATGAATCCCAGCCGTAAGGTAGATTCTAATCGATAGATCTTGCTTGAACAGTGTTTAGTTTTTTGTCTTATCCATAAATAAAGTGGATCACCAGATTGGGTTAAGGATGCCTTCCCTAGCAAGCTCATCGGCTTTGCAGTTTCCAGTGATTGCGCTGTGGCCGAGCACCAGAACAACTCTTATACTGAAGAAACTTGATGGTATTACTTATGAGGTCATGTACTAATAGTTTTGAGCGCACTAATATCGCTGCCCGACTATTTGAGAGAATGCACAACTCTCTGAAGGAAGCTGTATTTAGAGCTGTATATCTACTGCTATCTTGATGGCAGCCACCTCCGCTTGAAAGACGCTACAGTGGTCTTGTAGTCTGAAACTTAAGTTGATGATGAGCTCCTAACAGAAGACTTCACCTTATACGCTCCCTCTAAACTTTGCTTCATCCGTTAAAAAAGCTCACTGGAACTCGCCAAAAGAAGGTTCCGCGATGCAGTGATTGTTGGATAGTTTCGACGTCGTATTCATAAACCCACGGCTCGTCACCTCAGCTACTTTGTCAAGCATCACTTTTGCGACCTTCACACAATGTCGTTTTTCTAAAAGATTGAGAACTTTTGGTACGAGTCTAGCGTTGACACCTATTTATCGCAGAGAATTCTTTAAATTCAATATCAACCTAGCTCACAATAACTACAGTAGTTAGGGCGGTTGAAACACAGAGAGTTTTTCTTTAATTTGAGTCTTGTAAAGGGAATTTGATTCATTTGTTTTGGGTTTCTAATACGGCTACGAATTTATTTTCTATGCTAACTGAGGGATACTTTTTCCGTCGATGCAACCGGGTTTTTGTAAGTGTAATTTTGTCTCTCAGAGAAGAAAATAATTGGCAAAACTTAAAAATTTATTGAACTACAACGTGTCAAACTCTCGAGCACATATCAAAAAAATGTTACAAAAGAATAATAGTGAATCAAAATCATCATCATTTTATACAGTCGAATTTAGTAATTACTTTGCGGTAACTTAAATTGAAGCCAATTTTATTTGGCGCCCACATTCAATGCCAATCGGTGCATAAATTCATTGCTCTGATTTATTTTACTTACTAATGAGCATATCCACCCATTTTAAACGCCTCAACGTATGTACATATGCACCCATTTTAAGCGCCTAAATGTATGCTGTAATATATTATATTAGCACATACATATACAGTTACATACAGAAGTCTCTTTTTTTATAACTTTTGCAATTTGAATGCACTTTATAAAAGTAAATATATATTTTATATATTATATTATATACATACCACACCCTTCTTTTGGCGCCACATCATGCGCTTAACATGCCTTGCAGGGTTTATTAAAAAATGTGTATACATAAAAATATAAATCCATAACTGCAGTGTGTGGCTGGCACAAAATTGCTGGATGACCTGAAAAATTCATTCATGCCAGCAACGAACTGCAACCCACGCTTGCCAACATTTTCTGTAATTTTTTTCTTTTTTTTTTTACTTTCCACTGCCAACGAGAACGCCCTGAAAACACGTGCACTTTTGGCATCAAGGCTGTAGGTCTGGCTGCATATGAGTATATATTCACTACTAAGTAGGTGTGTATCACTTCTTACATTGTGTACACCGTTTGCCGGCAGCGCCACACATGCGCTTACACACCCACTTATGCAACAAACTCATGCAAGTCATGGCGAGCGTTGCACAAAACACACACTTTTTTGCTGCATATTTCTGCGCGACTTTTTGCCCTACAAAGGGGCTTCCGTGACGCCTTGTGCCAATGTTAAGAGTGTGAAATGTTGCATTGCATTTTATTTTGCTTTTGTAATTTTGTATGCTGCTCTTCAGTTTTATTTGAGTTTTTATTTGTAAGCGCCTAAAAGGCGACTTTACAAATTTTCATTTTCACATTTCTAAGGATTCTTGTTATACAATTCAATTGTATGTGTGTATTTGCATATCTGAATATATGCATGTGTGCGTTTGTGAAACTCAGTTACTTAAACAATGTGTATTCAGACTTTGTTGGAAAGTTCTTACCAGAAAAGAAAACGATAAAGAATAAAAATGCAAGTTCGTTTTGAAGCACACTTTAACGGTGTAAAACACTAATATTTTTTATAATACATAAATTTATAATTGTAAAAGAATATTTGTATAAAGAAACACCTATTATTCCTATATAATGGCTACTGCTGTATTTTTCAAGGTAGATGTGCGTTGCACCGTTACAAAAATTAACAAGAAAAAAACCGAAGCTATAATATGCTTCACCGCTGCATTTCTCATAGCATATAAGGGTATAAAAAATACTTTATCTTGATTTTAATCGGTCAGTTTGTATGACAGCTACATGCTATAGTAGTGCGTTCTGAACAATATGTTCGGAGATTATAGCCATATCTCTAAAAAAAAACTCTACGCCGGATTTCGTGAATATATCTTATCATATAAATAAGTATTCCATACAAGAACTTGATTTTGATAGTCCGATATCGGCAATGAGATGTTCTTTAGGAAGAAAAGAACATGTGAAAATTTTTAGATCGAAATCTCACAAACTAAGGGACAAGTTTGCGTGTGTATAGACGGACAAACAGACAGCCGGAGAGGGCTAAATCGAATCGAATCGAAATCAGCTTAATGGTTTTTTACAATTTTGTATTTTGGTATCGATGTGTGTGGCTAGGCGTTGTCCTGATGGAACACTATTCCTCTCTTATTGATCAAAGCATGTCGCTCCTGGGCGATTACTTCTTTTACACGTTTCAAATATTGACAGTAAAGACCCAAATTAAGGTTTTGTCGTAGGTAGGCAGCTCATAGTACATGATTTCCTGCCAATCCCACTATTTTTACACAGCTAAATCGTTCTGACCGTCAACCTTGGCTTGGACAGCGTTTGCGCCGGCTTACAACGTTTCAACTACGACCGTTTTAGTTTCATGTTGCTTTAGTGACTGCCTTTTGATCATCACAATCTGCATCAGAAGTGGATGGATTTTGTTGTGATTCGCATATGGAATTTTGGTAAATGAATATTTTTTTACGTTAACTCGTGTGGCACCCATAAATCGAGCTTCTTTTTGTATCTAGCATTATTTAATTGGTTTTCAATGGTTTTTTGTGCAATGTCTAGCCAATTGAAACTGTGATTACATGACGGTTGGACACGACGATTTTCATTATTTTGTATCGATATTTTCGATAATTGGTCTTTCCAAGCTTTGTGGATCTTTGATATATACAACGCTAGTTCAATATTACTTATATAGATTATACGGGTGTTTTTTTAGTCATGTGGTTTCCAATTGTGCAATACTTCTTTCGTAGTCGGTTTTTTACAGTTGTTGCTTGATTTATACGTATTTTGGTTTGCAAAGACTTACTTCGGAATCGTGCAAAATTGATACCCAAGTAATCGTTCGGTTCGCTCGTCGCATTTTTCGCAATTTTTAGCGAATGTTCAGCGATGAAGCTCACAATTAGTTGAATGGTTACGTTAATACACGAAGTTGTCACATTTGAAGTGATGAGTGCGATCTATGGGCAAAGTGAATCATTGATTCATATTTCTTCGAAAATTGAAGCCGGCCATAATGTTACAGTCAATGGGTAGCGCTATAGAACCATGACTAATGACTTTTTCTTGCCTGAATTGGGGATGTTGATGTAGACGACCTTTGGTTCCAACAAGACAGCGCTACATGCCATATAGCCAACAAAACAATCAATTTATTGCGCGTGGCCTCCAAGATTCTGCGAATCGATACCGCTAGACTATTTTTTGTGATAAGCCCGAGCCGGTTGACGCCTTGGAAGAGAATATTCGGCGAGTACGTGCTGACATATGGCCCTAATTGACGCAAAAAGTGATCGATCGCCTGGAATTCATTCGAGCCAGCCGCACCAGTCACTTGCCCGAATATTTTTTTTTTTTAATTTATGACAAGCCCTTACCTTTATAATAAAGCTATATTCTTGGCCACAACATTGAATTTTATGCATTGTATTTCTTCTTGAAACCCACATGCCTAAAATAACAACATTTATAAACTTTTTTCTGATTTTTGTTATCCCCTGCAGGTTCTACTGAGTTGTTTATGTAATATTTAAAATATTTAAATATAAAAATAAATATCTTCCGCATGAACTACATCTCTCTCAATGCTCATCAACAACAATCTCATTTCATTCTACCGGATCAGCCGTATTTGTTTAACTCAACTTCCTACCTCTGAATTCCCACAGCTATATATCGGCTTTGCCAAAAGAAACGTCAACATCCACGGCAACCGAGCTATGGAAAATGAAAATAAACAAACTGGAAAATAATTAAAACAAACATCGGCATGAAAAGAATCTGCACAGAAAAAATCTAAATGCAAATATTGAAATTGCGAATGCATAAGGCGGACGCCCAGTGAATCCACGTCAATCACAACATCAACAAAGTCTGGTGTACGCGTAGGCTTCTCGCAACGTCTAAGCAGCCACACTAACTAATTCACACCAACAACTAACTGTATGTGTGTGTGTGTGTGTGTGAACGAGACGCTCTAAAAACATTAAGAAAGAAATAAAAATAAAGTAAAAATCAGTGCATTGAAAGTGAAAACAAAAATTGCGAATCAAGTGACGAGCTTTTTGTTCGCGCCACGCGGCGCGTCATGATTTCCATTTCATTTTATGTTAATAACAATTGTAAAGAAAGTGCGCGCCACCGCCGCACGCCATGAACGAGGCAAACATTTACTAAAACTACTGCTGTTTATACGTGTATGTGTGTGTCTGCGTCTGTATGTGTACGTTTTTGTGCAAATCGAAATTGTAAAAGAAAATAAGTGCAACGAAGACGACGCTAAGAATAGCATACAGCACCGGACCGACCAAGCACAGGCCAATAATGCGCTGTTGCGCACACACTCTACCCTGCCCCTCTGCTATAGACACATCGCCTTCAGCCACGCAACGCCGCAATCTCGGCTGCACTTAAGGCGGGGGGAAATATTTACGCTGCTGTGAGTATTCTGCATGTCTGCTCGGAGGGTCCAACTTAATTGCTCTTGAGTCTGTTGTTGTTGTTATTTTGTTTGCATTTGGTAGCAGTTACAAAGGTGTTTCATTTATTGTTATTATTTTGGGTAATTATTTGCTCTCCTGCATGCATGTTGTACTATGAGATATTTTTATAAATACATACATATATATTAGGGTGCGTAAAAAAAATCGATATTTTTTCGCATTAAACTCTAAAAAGTTATTTGGTACACACTTCAAAGAAATTCGTTACAAGTGTAAGCTCTTAATATTAATAGGAAGGATCATTTGATTTTCAGTTTCTATATTTTATTTAATATATGATGAAAAAATTCATGACTCAGTATCTACTATTTAAAAGAAATATGTGGTTTAAGAAACCATATTTTTTTTCCCAAATAGTTGATACTGATATGATTTTTTCGTTCCAATAATAAGGTAAAAATTAGATAGTGAAAGCTGAAAGGCGAACGACCTTCATATTAATATTAAGAGCTCTTACTTGGAAAGAATTTTTTTGAGATGTCTACCAACCAACTTTTCTGAGTATGAAAAAGGAAGAAAATAATCGATTTTGTTTTTACTCACCCTGATACATACATACATATGTATGTGATACAGAATTGTATTTATAACAATTTTACACAACAATTTTTATTGTTATTATGGCATGTCATTTATTTGTCGGCTATTTTGTTTGGTAATACAATGGATTTTATTGTTGTTGTTATGTGTTACATTTTTGTTACTTGTAATTACTCAATTGTTTACTACAGTTAAGTGCCGACTTACTTGACAGAGTATGGTGATAACAAGTGTTATTACACTTTTCTGCTCGGCATAGCATTTGGCAAATGGTATAATAGCTTTTTTCATTAAAATGTTGTAAAGAATATATGTTACGTATATAATGTAATACGTAATGTTGGGTTAGTTTGAAGTGTCGATCTTATTACATGTGCCAACAGGATTTTCACTTACAGCAGCTTAACACTCTGATCCATTGTGGTAGCTAAAATTCCTATAGATTGATTATAGAGACCTTCGTAAATCGACCAAGCGATTTGAACCCAATACAAATGTTTTGAGGCATTTAATAACAGTTTCGGGTATGTCTCCTGGTTCGCCGTAAGTATGACTGCCGAGATGTTTCAATCCCAGTCTTGCAAAATATAAACAATGGCGGAGGAAGTGCCGGGATGTTTCTACTTCACCTTCTTTCATGCAACTTTGACCATTTGCGTCCGACAGGATTTTATCCTTATCGCATGAAGGCCTATTGGACAATGTCCAGTAAGAACTCCTTTTATTGCTGAAAGATGAACTTTGTGAAGGGCAAGTATTTCGGAGATATAAGACGAGTCGATTTATTTACATTTAACTCACTGCAGCTCCTGGCATATAATATGAGCCTGAACTAATAACCCACAAGAATATCTATATAAAAAATATGATATACGTATACTACTGTAGATACTAAGAGACTAAATGACAATTTTACTACTCCTCTTGCAGAGTATACTCGTACATTGACTTTTAGCCGAGAGTTACGGTAATTCTTAACAAGTAATTAGTATCTTTAGATTCTTCAAACTTTGGAGAGTAACGAATCGAACGAACAATTAGTTTATATAAAAAAAATGGCATATCCTTATAGAAATAAAATAATAAGCGACTGTGCCACTTCAGCGAGCCATCCATATACTCCTATCTGGTATTTAACTGGCTGACAAGGGGAAGAGCTGTAAAAACGCACAACGTTGTTGTTTCGATTACACACTATCTAAAGCTTGACGTTTCAGTGCCAGCTGTTAATATTCGCAATAACTGCTTGATCTCTGCGAGACACTGACTTTATTGAAGGTGTGAAATGCCAATCGTAATATTCATAGACTCTTAAACTTTATGCGACATGTTCCTGACATTCGTAACCTTTTAAACTTTTACTATAACTGTGAGCAGCACTTTCAGTTCTGGAACCCCATTACTTTTACTGTCTATTTTAAGTATACCAAAGTTCCAGCACTTTTTTTATTTTAGAATCGCTATTAATATTTGTGGTTCCATGACTAGAATTCTTTCGAAATTTTGCCAAGTTCTTCATTTATGCATATAATTTCTACTTTCTGGCTAGTCTTCTTTCAGAGTCTTGCTTCGTGTCTTGATCTTTTCTGTATTCATCATTTCTAGGCAGTATCGCTGTCTCTATCAATTGCTCTCCCAATTTTTGTTGTTGTTCTAATGACGTAACACATTTCTCTAAACTATTTTTAGACGTCGAATGTGCGAACTTGGCAATTCTTGTCCAGGTGAAAATCCAGATTCCGCTTACGTAGAATCAACCGTCGTGAGAACGGCATCCTCGAGATCGCAAGAAATGTCTCTCTTTTTTTTACTAACGTATTCCTCATAATTAAAGCATTTGAAGAGAAACGGAAAACAATGTTTTGTATATTCTTCAAGGTTTATTCTTAAAAAATATAGCCGGAAGGTTATCAAATGTTTTGTATACCATCGACTCAGCGAATAAATTCCGATTTGTTTCGAAGTTAACTCGCTTTTCCTTACTTCTTACTGTGCTTAGGTTCGTTTGCACTGCGTTATTTTTCTACTACTTAAACTATTATCAGCCCAAGAATTCCATTGTACTCGCAATTTTGTTGCAAAATACTTCAACGATTTATTGTAAGCTCTTATTTACCACTTGTATATATTAGGCTTAACAGTGCAATGCGATTTCGCTCAAAGTGCAAGTGCACTTACAAAAGTGAACACAGTTGAAGAATCTTCCACATGCACCTAATATTATAAATGATCGACGCTGAAACGAGCTTTGAATATAAAGTTGTGGATTATAGTGTATTTAACACATTTTTAACTGTATTTCTATTTTTCTCAGAGATCAAAGAAACATATGTATTTACATAAACACTAAAGTAGGCCATTAGTCATACCGGAATGCAAACAATTGACGATTAAAGGATATAATTAAATTTTAACTAAGAACCTTGTGTGTCACCAATTAAATAAGATTATTTTCGGCTTACTAATATTATTTAAATCTGCTGAAATATAAAATATTAAGTGGTTACCATCTTCTTTAGGTTCATTTCGGTTTAATAATGTTCGCATCATTCCCATTCCTGTGATTTGTTGCTTAATAAGCTCTCAAGTTCGTTACCAATTCAATTTTGTAACGCGAAGTGAAGATATGCCTACCAAAATATACCAACTTAAGTCCACAAAATTCCTGCCGAATCATGCCTACCAAAATATACCAACTTAAGTCCACAAAATTCCACACTTCAATATCAGTGCGCAAAAAATTCGATGGACTTTGATTGAAGAAGGTTAAGGGGTTATATCCACCTGCAAGTCAGAAAAACGCGCTTTTTGAGAACTTTGATTTTCGAAGAGGCATTTTGTTAAAAAAAAGAAATACTAAACATATATTTACATAATTTAATGCACTAATAATTAGTGATTCATTATGAAAAATTTTGTATTCCCTTGATTCTGTAGCCGATCTCCAGGAGGACCTCCGAAAAAAGTGTACAATTTTGGATATATTTTTGGAAAATACCATTTTTTGCTTTTCCTATCGTAAGTAGTTAAACTCAGAACTAACGGGACGACTGTGTCACCTTTTAGAATGCATTGATAATACCTTGATTTTTGAACTGGTTAAGTAGTTCAAAATGACACGAGATTATCTCGTTCCTAAAAATTTTTACATGCCCAGAGTGTGGAAAATATTTAAAAATTTAAAACTAACCCATAAGGTTATTAAGATATATATATCAAAGCTGAAAAATATCAGTAATTTAAATATGATTAATAAAATCTAATATTTTTTTAAATGTATTTTTTCGGGTTGAAAAATTATATTTTTTGCGGTCTCTTCGCACGTGAAAAGCGATCTAGCGCTTCGTGAATACTTCCGCGTATGAAGTGACCTTAGTTAAAGTCAATTGCGATATTAAAGTCCCGTCTGTTTGTTTGCGGTTTTGTGCAATATTTGCTTAATACATATATTAAAGCTCATCTTGACTATATATTGGTTATTATATATTCGTATCGATATCCGCAAATTATATTACCTAGGACATGTGGTACAATCACTAAACAACAACGTAATACAACTAAGTAATAAGCTTTTAAATTTTATAACCCGTGGCACAATGTGATTTTCATCACTATTTATTGCTGTAAACGCGAAAGGTGCGATTTGTGTACGTCATTAAAAAATTTATTGCGAGTTGCGTGATTATGATAAGAAACAAACTGAGTAGTGAGCTCTAACTGACCCTACGCTCAATTACAATGCCAAGGTCAGTAATAAACTACATATAACTTGTTTTTAGTATATTTGTTGACATAAATTATATTTAAAAATAGATTTCTTTACGCTGTTTGATGTACTACAAGTATATTATGGTAATCCTTTAAAAATTAAATAATAATTTTTTAAAGTCTCATATATTTTGTCGATAATAAATAATTAAAATATTACATATAAATTAACTTAAAACTCAGTTGAAAACTATTGAGATGGTTAAATAAATATTAATTTTTTTCGATATTCACGGCTATGTAAATATATTTATTAAAACGTCGGCGTATTTAGTCTGTGAGAATTTATTTAATAAATTTACCTTAATTTATGTAAGTACCACCTTAATGATTACTTACTTATGAACATATAGAAAGAAAACATCATGTTTATAAATAAGTTTAAATTATTTTTTACTATGTGGTGTAATTAATTTCGCATTTAACCTATCTCTGTTGATTATCTCATGTGTCAGAATGGTGTATTATTATATATTTGAATTAATATTTTTAATTATACAGACAGATATACCTACATATTTATGTAGAAATTAAATTTATTTGCATTAGGGCGATAATTGAGTTGTATGCCCTTGAAAAAATCCTCGCGAAAAAAATTGAATTAAATGTAAATATTTTCGCAGTTCAAAAAATGTAATAAAAATATAAATAAGGCAAGACCCAAAAAACATGCAGCTAACCCCACGTTTCTTGTTATTACTTTAATAACTGACGTTTTTTATTTAGAGAATTTAATTTACCTTAGGTTCCGTGATTTCTTTTTTAAGATAAGAAAATATCTCTCCAAAGATATTTCTAGTTCAAACTGTCTGAAAAAAAGAATTAAGTATTTATTTTCAAGATCGATAAATATATATGATGGTTGCAGGAATAGTCAAAATTACATATTCACGCATTTGAAATTTGAAGTGACATTTAAAATTAATTAAATTTTTCTTTCAACTCATCATATCTACGAAAATATTAGCCGTATTGACTACAATTTTTTGCACAAAAAATTTCTAACTAACCCTTTAAAAAACCTTCAGTTGTGTTTCGACACATTTTCATTTAGACGTGCTTTAGAGTAAAGAGTAAGTATCATTTGAATGATTTGAGATAGGGATTTTCGAACTCAATTGCATTCACCAGGCATCGTCCAAAAAGCTTGTGTGGTGTTTGACACCACTTTTTATTAAACACCACAAAATAATAAAAATATAAATAGACTTGCAACTATTATGATCATATCATTATGACACTTTTAAAAAGCACTTGAATAATGTTCCATAATGCCGACATATCAACAAAAACAATCGAGTTGCACTAATGTCAATTATTATAATTTTAATTTGAAGGCGTCACCACTAAAGTACCTACAACACACGCAAACGCCTAAAAATATGCTCATTCATTTTCGAAAATCACCAACAATTTGGTGACACTGCAGTAAAACACAGTAAGATTGCCTATTAGTAACGCCTATTTTTTCACGCTTGACGACATAACGTCCCAATCGGGGATACACGCAAACATAATTATAAATATGAACTTGTTAATCAATATTTACACTTGATTACTACTCATTCATTTGTGGTGTATATAAAGCATAACGGAAAAATATAATTTATATTGCAAGTTAATGGGCAGGGATCGTGTTATGATGGTGAAGTGCGAGCCGTTTACTTGTCAATTGAACAATTGTGCTGCTGATTACTGTGCGTCATTAACGAATCGATAAATGCATGTATGTGTGTTTTGAATTTAAAATATATTTACAAAACAAATGAAATACTTTTACAAGAGGTTTGAATTTAGAATGAAAAGACATTGTTATATTTTTGGTTTACTGCGATCTAATCTTTGTTGACCTTGCGTCGTCAAATTTAAATCGGTTGTGAAAGTTTTTTTTTTTTTTAAAGTAGAAAGTATCTATTCGTATTATGTGGGATATTTTTCAATAACCAGGGTACGTTAGGGCTCTTCAATATCGTATTTTTACCTTGTGTTTGTTAAATTCCAATATAATAGTAAATCTATTTTTCTGTGTGTGGAAAACTCCCAAGCTCGACAATCTTGTTTGAGATTGTTTGTGCTTGACGTTTTCTTGTAAGCGACCCAAAGTTTTTTATAATGAGAAGGAGTAGCCCGCTAACAAGCCGGATCCCATAGAGGCCAAACTTAAAACATTTCACCGGACCAATCATTGAAATATATAAATTATACTAGTATAGAGTTCGTGTGCGTCCCAACAATGGAGATTTGTATCACTATTAACGACGTGAGTCAAGAATATATGAAAAAAAAACTGTTTCTTTCGTACAAAATTTTGATTATTTTATAACATTTGTTATTCGAAATTTCGCATGCAGTGGAATCAAACATTTTTTTTGTTTTAATTTACCCAATATCGATATATTCCTGCCTATTCCCAGTAATACACTCGGTCCCCTGATATGGGAACAATATTAAGTGCTAGATGTGAGTATCAAGTCCATTTGTTGGAACCGTCGATATTGGAATATTATGTGATATAGCTGCCATACAAACTGATCGATCATAATCCGTTCATTGTATGGAAAACTTGTGTATTCGACATGATATCTTAACGAAATTTGGCACAGATTATTGGCCAAGACAACGCTACAATCTGACCATGATCTGATCGGACCACTATAGTATATAGCTGCTTTACAAACTGGCTAATCAAAATCAAGTTAGAGAACTTTTTATATCCTTTATGCCATAAGAAATGCACCTGTGAAAGGTATTATGGCTTCGCTCCAACCAAAATTAACGAGATTTGTTGCTTTTAATTATATTGTAGATGGGCTAAGAACAACTAGGTACGTACAAAGCTATAAAGCAAAATTTCGTACCGGCTGTTTTGAGTGTCAAGTGTTGAAATTTGTCTGTTTTCTAAGTACGAAAATTTTCAAACGAATTCTTTAGCATTCAGATCACGCTCCAATGCTCAATTATCTAAACATCTATTATCTTTCTTTTGTGGTTTCTTAAAACATCTATTTTGACTGTTGCGCCTCAAACAAACAAACAAATAGTAATAAAACTTTTCACATATACCCTATAAATACACACAGGCACTTGCATCAATTTATACATTTTCCATGTTTACGAAGTTAAATGGGTATGTGCTTTAAATGGTCTGAAGGTCTCGTATCAATATACTTACATTATACATAAGTATGTGTATGTTAGATACAAATGTATCTATGTATATTTGTACGTGTAAGTAAACATAAACAGTACGTTCAACTGGCGTGTAAAAGTTACAGCCAGAGTTGATATTCGCAGTGGACTATGGATGCATTGGATCACCAGACATTTTATTGTTATTGTACATATGTGTATGCATATTATTGCCTATGTTACATACACGCTTACAAGCGCTGTCAAAGTGTTAGCGGCTCGGCCACTCCTGAACAATTAATGCTAGCTTTGCGTACCAGATCGGTTAGGCAGTCTGTGTTCTCTTCTTTTTATTTGTTTCTCAAATTTTCGTTACGCTTCGTTGCCTTGTTTGTTAATTTAGCGTTTTATTGGCTTTACATTATTGAAAACAATGGAACTGAAAGTAAATATTTATAAAAAAAATAGGTTATACAAAAATATCAAGGATAAAATTATTTACAGCAACTATAAGTTGATTTTTAGTGCAAGCTTACGAAAGCAAGTATGATACTGAGGTTAAAATACTTTTTAGGCATCAAAATATTATAATATACTATATAAAATATTACGCAAGAAGCTGAACTTGTGCTTGAGAACATGAAACATATCTTACTTTGTTTCCAGGAACTTGTATGTTTTTACAATCCGAAACCCTTACATTGGGTCTATAACTATGTATATTCATCGAAAAAATGTACTATATATAGTATTGTTCAAAGTATTCCCATCTAAAGTTATAGTATCTGCCAAAAGAATTGCGCCACCTCGGCGGCCAAGAATGAATTAAACCAATTTTTGATCCCTGTTGTGATGTGAACCGTATTCCAGTGAGAAAGACCGGAAGAAATGGTACTCAGAAGAGACAAGTTCTGGTCTATAAGGCGGATGAGGCAAACTTTCCCAGACGCTTTTCTCTAAATAGCTTTTCAACCAAGCGTGATGAAAAATTATTGCCTCGCATCTAGTGCCGAATTCAGGGCATTTTTCGCCAATCGCTCGCTTGAGTTTGATCATTTGTCGTTGGTAGCTTTCCTTATTAATAGTTGTACCCGATTTCAGAAGCTCATAATTTCCTTGGCATCATGGATATTCGGCTTTGCCGTTGTTTTGGCTGGTTGACCTAGCGGTTGGTCTAGCGTTAAAACATCAATTGTCTTTCAACATCTCTTTGCTTCATTTCCTATTGAACCCAATTTAAACAGCTGTTTTTCAACGTTTTGAAATGGCGGTTTGAGTGACACCCAAAACTTCTGCAAGCTCTCCTTTGTTGGGCAACAATCTTCATCGCCCAGGACGTTCTACGTCTGCCAAGGCAATGTGAAAGAGAGAGACACAGAAATACATGTATTGATAGATAGATTAAGAGAGAGATAGAGAGAGAGTGAAAGCGCGCGTGAAGGTTGAGTAGTTCGCGTGAAATCTTGACAACCGACTTTGAAAACACAGTTTCGAGAAAAACGCGTTGAAAGATTTAAGTGATTATATAGCTGACCTCGAGCGCACAACTATTTAAAGCTTTAAGTTCAAAACTATTACTGGGATCAACTTGAGAATTTAATATTTAGAGATGTTATAGAATTAAATAAGACAATAAACTTTTTTTTTTGAAGCCGGGAAATCCATGTAACCCCTAAATTAAGCAGAACGTACTAAATTAATAAAGTTTCCCAGTTAGTAGATTCTACATAATCGAAACTAATCAGGAGTTTTATCTAGGTCAGCGCTGTCAACTAAGTATTATTCTTTAAAATTATTTTGGTTAGCATTTTCTTTATTACCACCTGAGACAATTCTTAATGGCGTTCGTCTAGTTCTGTCGTAATTCCCCTATAATAAGGCAGGCGATCTTTAAAATTTTTATTTGAAATTAATTTTTATCTATGTATTCATCCGCCATTTACTACTTCTCATCAACAAGAGTATACAGTATATGGTATATTATGTACTTATGTATGTTGTACATGCTCTTGAATTCTCATAAATGCGTCCACAATTAAAATAATGCTTCTCTTGTGTTTTATGTGCAATTACACATTCGCTTATAGCTTTGCGTTCTATATAATTTTGTGTGTGTATGCATAACTCTCTAAGTATATTTGTATCTACAAAACAGACTTTTTTGCACTTAATTGACACATTTCCTTATCGCGTTGATTTTGCTCCCACCAGAGTTGCCCTTAAATGTCCTTGAACAAGATAACGGGGCGATAAAAAAGTGCCTCTCCTTTAACTTACATGCGTACATACTATGCATCGCTCAAATGCTTGGAAATCCCTTCAATTACGTTGGAATATTCATACTCTGACATTTGACGGTTGCTCTAATGAACACCGCTTAATATACACTAATGTACAGGAGTGTGCTAAAATCTAGCACTGGTTGATATGATGAAGCATATATTATAGTGTCAGAAATCAGCTAATTAAATAAGACATTTTTTGATAGGACATTTTCTGATTTTATATCAAAAATATATAGGTAAAGATCATTTTTAATAAATACCATCTCATCAAAATTGATTCATAGTCCATGTAAACTGCGCGAGCAAATCGCATCGATACAAAAAATTTTGCTTTTGGTGCAACCTTTTGATATGTTCGTGTGAAGTTTGATCTCCATATGTCAATTAGTGAGAGTTTGGTGAACTGTTTGTTTACGACGCGAGAGGTTTGTTTAGCGATTTTTACAATTAAAAAAAACTCGTAGGGCGTTGATTTCCTGTGTTTGAAATGGAATCATGGCTACGAAATCGATTAAAAATATTGCAGAAATGTTTTGAGTAGTCTATATTATCACGAACACAAGTATTTGCATGGCACAAAGCATTGAGTGAAGGCCATGAAGTCATAGAAAAATTGTCTCAAGCGAGTCGTCCATCTTTGTTAATGACAATAACATCGAAAAAGTTGAAGAAACAGTGCTTGAATGTCAGTCGTCTTGTGAGCATCAGAGAGATAGTAGAGATGTTAAGTAAACATTATTTAGGGATCGTCTCAACACATTTAGGTTAATGTTTTGGGTATGAAGCTTATCAATGTTAAACTCGTACCAAAAATCTTTAGCAAAACCGACCTCGAGTCGAGGTCATAAAAGAGATGCTTGACAACGTAGCTGAGGGCCAAACGCATCATTGCTGTGCAATGCTTATGAATATAAGGGTCGAAACTGTCCACAATATTGCGAATGACGTTCACAAAATGAGCCGAAACTGGTATAAACAAAATTCACTAAAGACACTGAAAGCCATTCCAACCGTGGCTTATAACAAGTAGATGGAAAATTGCATGAAACGTTGACATGCTTATATTGGCTCAAAACTAGGCTATTTTAAAGGCGATAATAAAAATTTGTATTAATATACGTGAAATGTTTTTTTTTTCAGTTTGTTCAGCTCAAATTTGAACAGGTGGTATACTTTGAAAAAATCTTTATAGCAAAAACTCTGAAGCTTCCACACTAAATGCAAATTTTCGGAATTCCCAATTCGAAATGATTTTTCTGTATAAAGAAAGGAGTATGCCTATGAGTATCCTGCTTTAACTAATTGGTTGGTAAAAACGAAGGTCGAAATGGTGCAGCCGCACTTAAACCATTATTAGACTTTTGATTGCTCCCAGTTATCTCCAAATAGATACCAATTAATATTTTTCAATTTCCTCCATATTACCATCACCACCATAATCCCCTGTTTATGTACTTTTAAACTTGAATTAAAACATTAGATTACATTTTCTACCTGAGAGTACATGACATTGCTTTTTTATTAGTCGTCATTGTGCAAATTCAGAACATTTTTGCGAATGTATGCATATGTATAAGTATTAAGTACGTACGTACGTACGAATTTAAGATTTTATCTTATATCGAGAGTCTGTAATTTTACTTAGTCCCTAAGGGTGTAACCTTCACCTCGCTAAAACTTCTCACGCGAATATAATCGTCGCTCCGTTGAAATATACATTAACGAGAGCTAGAAATTCAATAGAAATTTCTAGAAAACATATACATATGTATGTATATATATAAATTTATTATGCTCTAAAGTTTGCATTCATCAAGTATTAAGTATTTTGAATTTCTTACATATAACCCGATTTTCTTATTTGGGATTATTGAGTTCTCGTGGATCATAAAGTTGAACACCGATAAAACGTTTTGTTCACATGCTTGCAAGCCTCAGTTACTTTTGTTTTTAGTGATAGTCCATTTGAACCGACAAATGAAAAGTTATACAAGTTTAGACTGCTTATAATTGACTAATTAACTTTAACTAAAAATATTTGACTCATCTAATATTCTTCTGAGGTCTTCAGTTAATCAAAACATTAATGGTCTTTAAATTGTAACTTCTATAAAGTAATGCTCGTAAGAAATTTCTTACTTCAAAGCAAAACTAGTCTTTCATTTTTTTCATGCAGTATGGAACAACTCATCACCATTTGTATTTACCAAAGTGAGAGATCATTTAATATTAAATCTCTTTTATATCGCTTTTACGATTCCATTATTGTACATGTATGCTTTTTTGCTTGTATCGTGTTGACTTGCAAGTCAGTAAAAACCCTTTTTTTCTGAATATTTTTTGAAGATCCAGGATTTTTAATAAATGACTAAAAATAATGCATATTCACAGATTTTAATGTACTTTAAAAATCGATGATTCATTTGGAAAAAAATTTGATTATCTTGATCCCTTAGCCAATCTTCAAGAGGACAACCGAAAACGTTGTCTTGCGATTAGGAAGATTTTTATCATTATAGATGAATATATGTGAATATGGAAGAAGTGGTCAAAATTTTGATTTTTGACAAAAATCTTATTTCTTCGATCATTGACTGACATATATTGTATATAAAAAAAACGGCATATTTTCAATATTTTTATTTTCATATAAAAAATTATAATGATCTACTTTCTTTACTCCTTTGTTTTTCTCACATTAAAAATGAAATATGTTTTTCAAACTTTTCATTATTCCAAAGATATATAATTTTACAAAGATTTTGTGAAATTTTCAAAGGAAAATATTCAAAACTCGGTTATTACAACGTCAATTCAGCCAGGTGCCTTCGCGTAGGCAGCAGAACTTCTTATAGGATCACTTGAAATTAACAGCAAAAAATACGTGTTTAAATTGCGACTATAAAGGTATTGGAAGGAAAAACAAAAAAACTTAAAATTTTATTTTTGACACAAAATTTACAAAAAAACACAAATTTTGGTGAAAACAACTCGATGTTTGTTTTTGAAATAGTTGTAATTGAAAAAAAAGCCTTCGTTGAAAACTTTGTAAATAATATCTTGACAGCCGATTGTAAAAACACAGTTTTGGGAAAAACGCGTTTAAGTGACTATAAAGCTGGCCTTGAGCGCGAAACTTTTCAAGTCGATATCTCGAAAGCTATTACTCGGAACAACTTGAGCATTTAGGCCAATATTCTAGAGATTTTATAGAATTAAATAAGATAATAAAAATAAATTAGATTTTTTGAAGCCGTGAAACCCCTAAAAAGCACTAATTTTTTTATTTTGTTAAATTGTTTTAATAAATAAAAAAATATTTTTTTTTTTTAATTTGGCAATTGGACTCTCTAAAACCCGCGAAATTTTAAAATTCTTATTATTTTCTGAACACACCTCGTATAAATAATAAAAATTAGAAATCAAGCCTAAAACATTCGGTGATAAAAAAATTAAGAATTGTGAGGGGTATGAAGTTTCATTAAATATTTCCGATATTTTTTGTAATTGTTTTCTTTATATATTTTCCAAAAAAAAATATTTAATTGGAACCCCCTTTTATGGTTTTTATATGCTGCACATATCTACAGTTTGCATATACTCACGATTAGACGAGTGCTTATCAAAAACAAAGGGCTGGTATTATTTACATACATAGTACCAAATAGATAGGTATGCAGCAAACGCTCTTCAATTCAATTTTACTACAGTGTTTTTCAAACTGTTCTGCTGTTCTACTCCCCATTTTCGACGAGTAGTTTGGCTCGTTTATAGGCATTCATGCACTCATTAGCATTATACCACCGCATTGCTTTGGCAGCGTCGTTTACGCGCTCACCATTTACGCCTTCAATTGCTTCGTGAGAGCGAGATAAGCAAATAAAAGCGATCGATTGTGTGTCGTCTACCTAACCGACAACAATTCGCTTAGACCAGTCTTATGTGAGCGATCTTCTAAAAGCGTTCATTTTACGGACTACAATGCGTCGAAATATTTGAAAGCAAAATAAAAATAAATAAAAAAAACATCATTTAACATAAATAACAAAATTTAAGGCGTC